TATAAAATAGTCAACATGGAATAGAATAATATGGAATAGTCAACGTATAAAATAATCAATACGGAATAGAATAGTATGGGATAGTCAATGTATAAAATAGTAAATATGAAATAGAAGAGTATGGGATAGTCAACGTATAAAATAGTCAATATGGAATAGAATAATATGGAATAGAGGAGTATGGAATAGTCAACGTATAAAATAGTCAACATGGAATAGAATAATATGGAATAATCAACGTATAAAATAGTCAATATGGAATAGAATAGTATGGAATAGTCAACGTATAAAATAGTCAACATGGAATAGAATAATATGGAATAATCAACGTATAAAATAGTCAATATGGAATAGAATAGTATGGAATAGTCAACGTATAAAATAGTCAACATGGAATAGAATAATATGGAATAATCAACGTATAAAATAGTCAATATGGAATAGTCAACATATAAAATAGTCAACATGGAATAGAATAATATGGAATAGTCAACGTGTAAAATAGTCAACATGGAACAGAATAATATGGAATAGTGAACGTATAAAATAGTCAATACGGAATAGAATAGTATGGAATAGTCAACGTATAAAATAGTAAATATGGAATAAAATAGCATGGATTAGTCAACGTATAAAATACTGAACGTTCATAACTCTCAGCACTAGTCAGACACTTAAAGTCCAGATGTGCTCAGCCATAAAATCGCAGCACTTCAATTAAGAATATTTGAACGTCGCATTTCGTTAATTTAAAGTCCCCATACAAGGGCGTTGAAACAGCGCAGAGGGAGAGAAAGGGCGTAGAGTTAACGACGCGCCTGTATGAAAGAGGGTGATCGTAGTGAAAAAAAAAGTTTCGAGGCGGCATCGCGACGCCTGGCCGCGGGCACTTTCAAACAGGAAAAGGCAGCAGGATGGAAGACGCAGAGGAAACGATGGATCGATATTGCTTTATAACGTTTGGCTGCCCATTACCGTGCTGCGAAATGACGTATAGCTGCCAGCGAAGCAGCAAACGCACACTCGGGTACCTCTGCAATAATCATGTGTGCACACGCCGTGTGTATCGATTGCAACATTGTCTGATAGACTCTTTAAGGTCGTCGTTAACGAATCTCTGTTACTAATGGTTCCCTGTGAACCGACTAGTTATGCGCGAGCTACCATTGCGATCGAAGTGTTTAACGAGGAAGGTAAATTGTTTCTGAATACGAAAACTCTGCCATACGTGTGTCAAATGTATGACCTGTAAATTTCGAGACAGTGGAATATCGTATTTAGAAGAAAAACTTGGGTAATTTAAATATAGACCGCATAAACATTGCAGCGGGAAGGTAAGCCGCTTGCAACTTATGAATATTACCGAGCTTAAGCTTCTGCTTCCTCCGCGTATTTCCGTCAGGAAAACATCCTTGATATTGATACATGCGTTAGCGAGAAAAAAGAATTGAGTACCTAACGAGTTGTAATTGGAATTCGATTAATCAGCCATTATTTCTTTTGTTGCAAATATGACGTTGAAAGCATTATTCCGTGAAATGTATTGTCTCGAATTTTTATTCGGAGACAGTTGAGGAAAGAAGAGCGATTCGAAGTAGGCGTAATAATGGCACGCGTTACGTCGCTCGTAACTCGCACGCTCGCATTTTTCTGTGTCATGTAGGTTATCAGGATAATGTATACCACGGAAACTGGTTATGAAGTGTCACGGCTTCCTTTTCTCTCTGTTTATGTACACGCTCGGAATTTCAACAAAAGAGCGGATCAATTTATGCCTACGGCTTTAATGTTAACGACTGTAATAAAAACTCGGGAGATTTTATAATGCCCGGGGATGAAAACTTAAGACAAATAAAAGACATAATCTGACAAATAGACTCTCTTCGTTTTAATTAAATATGAAAGGTTCTTCAGGATACTCGAGCTTTATTACGGCTTCTTTACGCTCCTTCCAAGTAGTACAAATCAATAATTATGACACCGTCCGTGTTGACGCGGTCTTTTGAGAAACTTTGCGAGTAAAATATGTCGTAAAACGTGGATTTACTTCGTTAGATTCATGGAGGACTTTTACAAAGTTGAAGAATACAGCAAATCTGTTTAACTTTCTTCTGATCGAATATTAATGACTATTGAGTTTCACTGAACCTTCAAATAACTGTATCTTTACCGAACAAGTAGTATAAGTAAATAATTATGTAAACAAGGTTTCTGTTTTATTCAATTTTGAATCGATATTCCAAAATTTGGTATACACTTAAGTGACGGATGCAGTGCGCCATCTTGCCAGGAACCTAACGGGACACATGCATATTAATGGGTGAGTTGACAGGTTAATTTTCCCATGACTGGATATCGAGCAGCTACAGCCCGTAATAGCATCCCGGCGAATATTACAAAACAGAATCTTTACCTTCACGGCTATGAAAATGAAAACTGTCGAGAGCATTTTTCCACGGTATTAAATACGGTATTAATTTTCTCAGTTTGACGACAAGTTAGTGGAAAAGCTTATGGAGCTCTTTAACACAGAAAAATGGAGTTGCGAAATTTTTCGTGTTAGCAACCTTATGTTTGTTCGTTTAATCGTTACACTGTTAGACTGCTACATAATAATTTAACACTGTTAATAATTTTATATAATGAATTTGATCAACCTAACCTAACCTAACCTTATGTTTATTCGTTTAACCATTACGTTGCTACGTAATAATTTAACACAGCTACATAATAATTTAACAGTGTTAACAATTTGATATAATGAATTTGATCAACTTATGATATAAAAGTAGAATACTTATGAATATTGTTAAGATCACATTAATAATGTGAAATAGTTCACAATTACTCAAGAGTTGCTCAGATTGTATCAAGAGTACAATTTTGGAGAACTTGAGGACTCTGATGATAAGAAAGAACTTGAGGACTCTAATAAATCTAACAATGAGGTCATTGAAGTAGATTATTCATTTAACGTTCAATTTTCTTAAGAGTACAATTTTTTGGAGAACCTGAGGACTCTGATGACAAGAAAGAACTTGAGGACTCTAACAAATGTGAGGTCACTGAAATGGATTATTTATTTAGCGTTAAATTTTAGAGAACCTGAAGACTCTGATGACAAGAAAGAACTTGAGGACTCTAACAAATGTGAGGGCACTGAAATGGATTATTTATTTAGCGTTAAATTTTGGAGAACCTGAGGACTCTGATGACAAGAAAGAACTTGAGGACTCTAATAAGTCTGACAATGAAGTCATTGAAATAGATTATTTATTTAACATTCATCTTTTCCAAGAGTAGAATTTTTTTAAGAACCTGAAGGCTCTAATAACAAGAAAAAACTTGAGGACTCTAATAAATCTGAGGTCATCAAAGTGGACTATTCATTTAGCGTTAAATTTTGAAGAACCTGAAGACTCTAATAACAAGAATAAACTTGAGAACTCTAATAAATCTGAGGTCATTGTGAATTATTCATTTAGCGTTCAATTTTGAAGAACCAGAAGACTGACAATAATAAAGAACTTGAAATCTGAGACCATCGAAGCCTATTTATCTAGCGCATAGCCGTCAGAACAATGTATGCAAATAAGAGAAATGTGTACGTACTAAGAGAAACCGTCAGTCACCGTCAGCCACTTGACTGACGGACACTGACGCTGCAAAGGGACGTCTAAGCTGCTTGAACGTAGACATTGATGATAGCTTAAGCTAATGGGATAGTGGATCTTGACTGGCGATAAGTAGCATATTCGAGTAAGGTTCTCGAACGCGTATCGACAGGTTTCACCGATTCCATGAAATCGTTCATACAGACTGTCATCGAGGATCATGATCGTTATCCTCGATACATTAAGGTCCTTAGCTATGCCGTTTAATCTGTGTGTTTGATACGCTTCGGCTGTTGACTTCGCGCTCTCTGTTATCTCGGATTAAAAAGTTTATTATTCTACTTTCCTATTCGTTAAGTTTCGCGAGTGTTCTCATTTCTTCTTGGCGAGTTTAATATCAACTTTGTTTGTCTCCGCTGTTCTAGATTCTCTTCGTGATAGCAGTTCTGTGACTCTTGTGCTTCAATTTGTAGTTCTGTTTTCGCACTCGAATTGAAGTTTTAAACTTGTTAATTAACAAAGCTTGAAATAGGTAAATTAACAGATCGAGTCACATTTTCTACCAATTTTTGAGACCTCCAGATCTCCAAATTTCTAAATGAACTTTGCACCACCACAGAGTTAAATTTGAAAAATGTATACATTTGTAAAGTTCCACCCCCAATTTTGAATCCTAAGTGAATCGTAGATAGGCAAAAGTGTTATGGCGTTGAATCCTTTGACCGGATATGAAGATTAACGACTCCGAAGTTTCCGTTTAAACAACCGGAGGGGTTGAAGCTTTTGTTCGTAACAACGTTATCGCGATCGTCTAACGAAGCCAGCCGAAACCGCGATAACCGGCTTATCCTGAAAACACTCAAAGCCTGGTATCGAAGCTTCGAAAGAACGGGAATCACGGGCTCTCTTCTTGATAATGATGTATCTTCGCTAACTGTCGCGATAGGATTACTTCGTGCTCGACGAAACACCATTTTGCCGATGTACGAAGATTAACGATGCCCGAGATTTAAGTGACTCCGGGAAGAAATCCTGGATGGAATGGTTATCGGCTTGCCAACGTCGGCTTCGTGAAAAATAGCGTTTGATCAGTTTCCGCTGATGAAAACGCTATTTCTCACGGAATTGATCGATCTATTTAGATTTTCGAATTTGAACAAGTTTGCTGTTTGGCAAGCAAATTCGAGTGGTTTTCGCATAACCGTTTAAAACATTCGTAAACTGAAACGTATGCCACTTCCATGCCAAGAACGCGATAGTTGGCTCCAGTACTTGATTTTTCTGCGATAATAGCATATATCACATTTTTTGATGCGATTATTTGACGCGTTGCTTTAATCAAACGTAAGTTATGACCGTGGGCTTATTACTTTTCAATTGTTTCAGGTCTACTATTTCATCGCAGTGTTCTAATGTCTGGCAGTGCGCTTTCTCCATGGGCACTGGTGAGAGGAGCCGCAAATTACGCTCTGCAAGTTGCCAAACACCTAAATTGCTCGTGGGTGAGTACCGCCTGGAGTGCATTACATTAAGGTCTCCAGTTCGGTGACAACTCCGCGGCGAATAAACCGCCGGCAGGCTTCTCCTGCAAGGGAAACAATTTCCCTGCTACCTTGCTTAACGCTCTGAACGATATTTCACTTCTTTCAAAACTTGCGCCGACTTTGTTTAAGAAACTCGCCGGCAAAATTGTTTACAAAATTAGAGGAAAATTAGATTACACTATAAATTGAAGATGTTGAAAAATTCAGAAAAAGAAACTGAGTTTGAAAGATATTGAAAGTAACTAATATTGGAAGACTAAGTAAATTAAAAATATGTAAAATGTGGAAGGTTTTATTTAAAAGCGTCAGGTATTAAACTATACTATAAATTGAAGATGTTGAAAAATTCAGAAAGAAAAACTGAATTTGAAAGATATTGGAAGTAACTAATATAGGAAGAGTAAGGGTAAATTAAAAATATGTAAAATGTAGAGGGTTTTAATTAAAAGCGTCAGGTATTAAAGTATACTATAAATTGAGGATGTTGAAAAATTCAGAAAGAGAAACTGAATTTGAAAGATATTGAAAGTAACTAATATTGGAAGACTAAGGTAAATTAAAAATATGTAAAATGTGGAAGGTTTTATTTAAAAGCGTCAGGTATTAAAGTATACTATAAATTGAAGATGTTGAAAAATTTAGAAAAAGAAACTGAATTTGAAAGATATAGGAAGTAACTAATATTGGAAGGCTAAGTAAATTAAAAATATGTAAAATGTGAAGGGTTTTAATTAAAAGCGTCAGGTATTTCATATATTCAAACATCGTTTCCAGTTTAATTGTATAGGACAGGAAGTTATATCTAGTGTTGTATCACTCGCGTTAAAACGTGCAACGCGACAAACTCCCAACGGGCGAGTCGCGCGATGTCCAGAGCGTATATTAGCTTAATTGAAACGCGTCGTTAATATAATTGGTAGTGTACAACTAACGGACACAAAAACAGTCGTTCAGTCGGCTTCATTTGATAGTTTAATTTATATCTACGTTTTCCCATGTGTAATTCGATTCGTCCATTTACGATCATTCCAAGTGTAACTTGCACTCGTTCTTCAATTTTACTCGAATTTTTAAAATGAAGTCCAAAATCGACTACCATAACATTTAATAATATAATATTTTATTACACTGAAACATGAAACTTTCTTTGTAACATGATTAGTTCATACAGCAAGAAAATTAACTCCTTGCACTCGTTCTTCAATTTTACTCAAATTTTTAAAATCAAGTCCAAAATCAACTACCATAACATTTAATAATATAATATTTTATTACACTGAAACATGAAACTTTGTAATATAGTTCTGACATACAGCAAGAAAATTAACCCCTTGCACTATGATGTTTTTGTCAAGTGCGTCAGTCAGAACTAATTTCAGCCATATGAAAATATACACAGAAACTTGAAATGTTATGTGAACTTGGTATCATGCATTTGACTATGCAAATTATAATTCGACTTGAACTCCAAATTGAAATGTATTCAAAATTCGAGTAAAATTAATCACAGCCGAAGTACGAGTGCGTCAGTCTCGTCCAAATAGTGTAAGATGTTAAGTAAATTCTTGAATTCATAAGACGATCGATAAATTTACTCTGAACACATGAATAATATCTGCTAATTAAATAACGAAAAGCAGGGTAATAAAAAGCGCAGTTCAAATTTACAGAGTTTTTAAAAAGTTAACAGCAGCTTGTAACGGGGCTCGCTTTTTAAAAATTAAAAGCATTTCAAGCAGAGGTAATTTAATTTCAGTTTATTTTAATTTTGTAAGACGACGCTTTAACGGAAGTATTCTGTACAATTTTAATTTCATTTCCTTTTAGCAAACGTTGGATTTAATTTCCTTTATGATAATTGATGAAATAACTGTAATGAAAGTTTGTAAGAGTTCTTTTGTAAATGAGTATCATTTGGAGAAACGTTCGAAGCTAAGGAATTCTTGCTGGAGCTATCAAGTCGTTCTACTTTTTAATTAGTCTCTAATGTTTTAATTGCGCGTTATAACTTGTTCACTAATCACTTCTCACAATCTTTATGTTCAAATTTATCAATTTCTGAAGTTACGATTTCGAAACCTCGCGACTCTCCCAAAATCCGAATTACTCTCTCAGATTTGTTCAGCAATTTCCCTGAAACTCGATTCTGCAACGGTGTATGTATCTCGAAAGAATCGCGATTTTATCGAACGCTATCGAGAGGCAATAGCAGCGTGGCACGGATACTTGCAACCACTTCGCTGTTATCCAGAAAACACCGTTCCAGATAGGCGAGCCTAAACAGCCTCTCGATTTTCAGCCGATTGAAAATAACGATTAAACGCGAAATCGGGATAAGCGGGCTCGTGGATTGTTTTCCAGACCACTCCTCCGACTCTGGCCACCCTCGTCTCTTGTTTCAGGTCGAGTAGGGGAAACAAACACAAAAAAAAGAATGAATTCGCGATGGACGAAATGGAAAACGGTACGGGATTATGTTATGCCAGTCGATACCCTCGCTGGAATTGATTGAATTTGTCGCCGGGAAAAATGACGAAATTAATTTCGTTCCGGGATTTGAACGACTGGTCGATGCAGTTTTAGAAATCGTTTCATTGTAAGCGGTGCTTTGAATTTAGGTCGATGATCGCGTTACGGGGACTTCTGCAGGAAATATTAGTATGGTCTTTGTGAAATTTTCAACGGGAAAACTATAGACTTTGATCAGATTTTGAGATCTAGTAGAACGGATTTGATTTTGCTCTTCCGGAGCGCTGCTAGTAGTACAAGTCAACGGTTATGCCGACATTCGAAAAATCAAGAATAAGTGAACTTGCATTATTTACATATGAAAAGTTAATCTTAAATATGGTTTAGCTTTGGTACACGAACAGCCATGATCTTAACAAGCATTGAAGGTACCACTGGTAATAAAGAAAATTTTGTATTAATAATCTAATGTAATTTCGCTTTCCTTTGACGTTGTGCGCGATCGAAGTAAGGACAGTGAATCGATTGATCTGTCTAAAAATCTCGGGTAGCTGACGCGTTCTCGGAAACGCATTAGCGAATCAGGGTAAATGGGAGTTAGCGTGACGCAATCGCGTCGTTCCAAAGCGACGATTCACTTTAATTCGGCTGCACGCAAATGAATTGCTTTAGCGTCCGCCCTGTAATCGCCTTTGGAAATCCTGCTCGAGGCGGATCGCCGCAATCGAATGTCGAGCCGAGCTGTCGCGTCGTGGAAATTCGTCAGGGAAAACGGCGTTACCCTCTCTGCGATCACAGCTAGCAGCGTGTGAGAGGGTGCAATCGGCCACGCGAGCGATTCGTTCGCTTAACGAATTTAATCGGCGGCTTAATATGGTCGAGCACGCTAGCCGGAAACACCGATTCCGCGGAAGAGTTTCCAATTTTCGATTGAACACTGTTGGTACAGAAGAGAGGAAGGGTGAGGCTTGACAATTTCGTTGGAAAACCCTCTCTCTCGCTCCCCTTTTTTTTTGGAGGGGTTGAAGCGGCCTCGTTTCGCGCTTCCCGATTGGTATTCTCTCGCCTGCAGCCCTCGCACAGCCTCTCCAGCAACTAAACCGTTAAATTAGACTTTTGTTGGAGCTCCTTTTTTGTTTGAGTTGCTGGAGTGCTGTTCGTTCTTCTCTCTCTTTTTTTTTCGTTTTTCTGTTTTCTGGTTTTTGGTACTTTTGTGAGGTGGTTTTTGAACATTGCAGTATGCTACGAAATTCTACAGGATGTAGAACTTTCGGGTTTTCGCTGGTGGAAAAATTGGAACGACTACTTTATTGATCCGAACTACGGTTTTTATGCTTTCTTCTCTGCTATGATATTTTTGTATATACATTTTTAAATTCTGGAGTCCTCAAACTTCGCATGGGGTCGCACTAGAAGCTCAAAGATCTCTCGCAATCGATATAACTCATTAAAATTTCCTTTTCAGGCGGCGGGAAATTCGCAAGCGTTGCTCAGGTGTCTGCGAGAGGTGCCACTGAACGCCCTGGTGTCGGTGCCGGTGAAGGGGTTGGAGTTCGCCCCTGCGTTCGGTCCCAGCATAGACGGGGTCGTGATAGATCCAGGAGATCCCGAGGATCAGGACTTCACCCTGCAGGTCGACACGATCAATACGTTAAACAACATTCTGCTACGGAAGGACGTCGTGGCCAAGCTCTCAAGGTATTTCCGCACCCTCTTTTCACCGTTTCCACCCTCGTATTTTCTCTCGATCAACGGTTCGTTCCGTCGGAGGAGTACCACCCTTCTTTCGCTGCCAAGTTATCGATTTTTCCGGCTGTACACACTGCGAGTTGAACAAGAAACGGAACATTCTTTTTACTTCCTTTTTCTTTCGTTGCACGAATGCGTTCGCTGCTTTACGCGCCCCTTCAGTGATATCGTTTACCTGTCTGACAGAGATTAGACGGTTTAACGCCTTCATTTTTCTCTCTTAAATTTTTATTAACAAGATTCATTTGAAGTTCACGCGAGGGATGAAGTAGTTCTTAATTATTAAATGAAAGTTGTAAGCATTTGGAACATCGTTAACATTGTAAGGAATGTAAATAGTTGGCTAAGCAATTTGAATGTTTAATTATCTAAGCTAAAAGCATCGAAAGCTGTCAGGTTTCCCGTCGTGCATCAACGTCAGAAATTTAGTACGTATCATCTCTCAACAACCCCTTTACTTCTCCGTTTCACCGTCAATCGCACCGCGGAACGCAATAAACGCTCGAAAGGAAGCAATTTCTCCCGCGGCGACCGCTGAAACCAGCCACGAACAAAACGAAAAGAAACGACTCGTTTCGCGAGAACGAAGATAGACCGATTGAATCAGCGAACTGTTCGCGAAACCTCTAATTCCCCGACGAATTTCGTGCACCGCCATTCGATACCTCACGTCGAGGAGCTGGCTTTACGACGCATTTCGCTTCCACTCTTCTTAACCAAACATTCGTTTATTATAAAATTCCATATCGATACACGTTTATTTTATAGTAACATTTAGCCTGGAGTCTTTATATTCCCAACCTCAAAATTTGTGGAGACTCGAGTATCTTAAGAGCCCGGAGTCTTTATATTCGTAACCTTAAAATTTATGAAGACTCGAGTATCTTAGGAACCTGGAGTAGTGTTTGTATTCTTAACCTCAAAATTTGTGAAGTAACTTGACAGTGACTCGATAGAAATTATTTCGTTAGGCTTATTTGAAGAATATTCGTGAACTATAACCTTTTCACCCCTTTTTCATCTCCAGTTTTGACGCGCGCGTGCCCCATTTCCTTTTTTGTCGTTTCATCTCGACTGTCTTAGGGAATCTCGGAGTCTCTCTCCTTCTTTATCGCCTTCCGTGACCGTGTACTTTTCTGCTGTCTCTTTTTTTGTCTTTCTGTAACGTTTATTCTGGCCTGTTCTCTCACGTTCCTCCATCGTTGCGCCAGATTACGACTCTTTCCGTGACAGTTTTTATGACTCTTTGTCTCTTACAATTTCCTCTGTCCGTCAATTTTCCGTAGGCACAAAGAATGAAATTAAACAACGCAAAGAGAGTCATTCTATTTACGATCTTCTTTGTCCTCGATTTTATTTCCAATTAGTTCCATTTCGGTGGCAACTTTTTTGTCCTGCCGGAATATTTTACGCGGACAGTTCCCGGTAACGAAGCACCACGCAATGAAATCCAGATTTTTCCCCGACTTTTCCAACTACCTTATCTCGGTGGCTTTCCCCGCCAGAACTTTGTTACCTCCGACAATTTTCACCGACGTGTCCAAACTCCTCCGGGAGAAAGAAATTCTCTCAGTTAAATTTCCCGTTTAACGAAATTTCTCCGCTGAATCAAAATGTCGATCCTACACGTGGACAATTTTCGGCGCGGAAAGAAGTCGCGAAAAACCGAGGGAAGATCGGTTTACGCCCGCTGAAAACTCATTACTGGACTCTGGTTAAGGGAGGATTCCAGAGGGGTTGTTCTTTCACGACTGTGATAAATAGAACGTTTTTTCGCGAGCGTCACTCTATGGATTTCTTCGTTTCACCCTCGACTTCTCCATTTTCTACTTTGCAACCTGCTCTCACCCCCTCGCACCACTGTTTCATCCCTTCGAATACATTGTCCTTTGGTCTCCTCCCTCTTTTTTCTCTTCCTTTATCTGTTGAACTCTTTGTCCTCACCCTTGGTCCCGTTTTTCGCTCGTCATTTTTCTTTTCATTCGAAGACTCGTTTTATCATTCCTATTCGTTTGCTCTTACAATTCCACCTCGATTTTCAATTTTTAATCAATAATCTCTTAACATTCTTATTCTATTTACTTTTTTCGTTCGTTTTTAATACGGTTAATGTTACATTAACAACCTTATAATGTTTCCACAGTAATAATTTCTCTATTATATTTCTATTACATTTCTATCAACATCATTTCTATTATAATACTTGTGTTATTATTGTAATACTTCAATCATCCAATTGCATGATCAATTAATTATTCAGAACATCATTTCTATTATAAATAATAAATTTAGAACATAATTTTTATTATAAATTATCTTCAGAACATCATTTTTATTATAATACTTGTGTTATTATTACAATACTTCATTCAATCATCCAATTGCATGATCAATTAATTATTCAGAACACCATTTCTGTTATAAATAATAAATTTAGAACATAATTTTTATTATAAATTATCTTCAGAACATCATTTTTATTATAATACTTGTGTTATTATTACAATACTTCATTTAATCATCCAATTGCACAATAAATTGATTATTAAGAATTTTTTTTTAAATTGTTACCTGTCCCATGATAGACTTTAAATTATTATTTAAAGAATATACAGTGATTCTATAAGTCCAACAAGAAGCGTAATCAAAATCGTTTGGGTACACGCTCGCTTAATTACTGTTTTTCCGTGTAGCATAGGCATTCCGAAAACACCATTTCGCTTGCTAAGGTAATTCAACAATGGCGTCCGTGCTTGGCAATTTAACGTGGCAAGACTGAATTCGAGTATTTACGGAGCACCGTGCTGCCAAAGAAAAATGTTTTCGCTCGCGAGAAAAAGGGAGAGGAAAAACAGAGAACTCGCACACATAAAGGCAAACGTGGCCTGTGATGAACATAGAAAGTTAAACACCGTTCGAGATTTAATTTCGCGAATATCTAGCGACAGCGGCGATGCTTGAAAAAAGTCTCTTTGCGGAGATTCGTAAGAGAAAAGAGTCTGCGGTATAAAATCATTTCGGTGCTCACGAAATTTGAATACCTCTAAATTCTGCTTTTTATCGTCACAAAATGTTACGCTTCAAAAATGCATTTTTATATTCAACATTCGAGCACAACATATTTTTATATTCTTCTTATCTCACATGTTGTGCAAATGACATTAATATTATAAAATATATTTTTGTATATATTCTTCTTACATAATAAGCCATGCAAATAACATTAACATCATGAATTAAATAAATGAAATAACTTGTTCGAGCAATTAATCCTAACATTAAACTTGCAGATGTTTTTACACTTTCATTTCTGAAGACAATTGAATTCCATGAATACCCCATGGCCGAATTTGCCTGGAAGGGGTCGAACGAGTGAAAAATGCACGTCACGAAGCGGGTGGCAAGTTAAATTTTCATTTTCCCGGAGACGAGCGAGACGAGACTCTCAACACTAGGATGACCGCCTTTAATTCAAAAACGCGCCACGCTCTCCACCTGAAGTCCGTGCCGGCCAACTTGGATACCCTTGTTTTTCCATTGAAAGGATACACGGTGTACGAAAGCACTTAACAAAATGGAATTAGAGAAGCCTTTCAAGTTTGCAAAACGGCACCCCTGTGAATTGCGTAAAGTGTTACGAGACTCGTGAAAAGAATTCGAGAGTGTTAATGCATCGCTTGCAGCATCGAAACGTGCGAATTATTAAAATTTGTGGTAGGGAACGATTTCTTTATTTTAGGCGGAAGTAAGAAATTGTGAACTTGGTGGTATTTCCACGCGTAGTATTTTCACGCGTGGTATTCTCACGCGTCGTATCTCCATGCGTAGTATTATCACGCGTCATATCTCCACGCGTAGTATTTTCACGCGTGATATCTCCACGCATGGTATTTCCACGCGTGGTATTTCCACGCGTGAGATCTCCACGCGTGGTATCTCCACGCATGGTATTTCCACGCATAGTATCTCCACGCATGGTATCTCCACGCGTGAGATCTCCACGCGTGGTATCTCCACGCGTAGTATCTCCACGCGTGGTATCTCCACGCATGGTATTTCCACGCGTGAGATCTCCACGCGTGGTATCTCCACGCATGGTATCTCCACGCGTAGTATTTCCACACGTCATATCTCCACGCGTCGAATCTCCACGCGTAGTATTTCCACGCGTGGTATCTCCACGCGTCGTATCTCCCACGCATTGTATCTCCACGCGTCGTATCTCCCACGCATTGTATCTCCACGCGTAGTATTTCCACGCGTCGTATCTCCACGCGTCCTACCGTCCCACCGTCCCGCCCTATATTCCCATAATCCTCAGAACGTCCTCTCCTATTTCCCGCGAAAGAAATTGTGAACTTGCAAAAAGCATGGTGTCTTGAATTTTGAAAAAGAATGCACCTAATCAAAAGAGCGATTAAAAAATCTGAACATCGTTTTGAACGACCTTCGGTGTCCCAGAGTTTTTTCTGTTCGGCTCATCCTTTGTCAGGGTAACCCTTTGTTCCTTTGTCATCGCGTTTCTTTTCGATTCTCTCTCGTCCTTTGATTCGTTCCCTCCAGCATCCACGGATTCTCTTCTTCGCTGCACTTTGCAGCCCCTTTGGCCCTGTTCCCACGATAAATGAATGCTCCGCCGGGGTTTAACGCGACCAGACGCGTAACGACGATGTTTAAAGGGGAATGGAAATCGTCGACGAGCGTTCTTTGCACAGACGTCCTTGAATGCCTCGCGAATCTCAATTCCCCAGGAACCGATGAATGCTGGATGTTAATTTGTCGCGAATAGACTGTCTGCGGTGAATGTTTGCCGAAGAATTGCGGGGGAAATAGAAGGCTGAACCTCCCTGTAAGACTACGTATGTACGCGTGTGTAATTACGTTGTGAAGTTAATGAAGGATCGAGTGCAGCGAAGAGAACACAATATACTTTGATGAACACTCTGTGTACCTTGTTTCTGTTAAGATATTAAATCTCAAACGAGACTTTCATCAACGGCGGACCGGATTTATCCCTCTGTGATCATTACGTGTTCCACTTTCTGTTCGCACGGGGTTACACGAATTCGAGCTTAATATGCTCAATTTATATGACATTGCGTTCACAATTTATATAAATTTTTTATCGAACTTTTGTCCTGTGTTAAAGGTACGATCTGATGATTGGTGTGGTGCGATCAGAGGCGTATTTCGCTTTGACGGCAGACGATGCACAATATGGGATCGAAGCCGACAGGAGGACAAAGATTCTGAGGGAATTCGTGCGAAACACCTACACGTATCATCAGGCGGAAATTCTGGCGACGATAATTAACGAGTACACGGACTGGGAACGACCCGTGCAACATCCAGTCAACATAAAGTGAGCTTCTGAAATAATCTCGCACTATTTTTAATTTACACATTACAATAAAATCTTCCTAACTTAAATCTATATATTGTCCTCAAAAAGTATTCGATTTTGAATTTAAAATATTTGAATCGCCAAAAAAATGTGAACTTGTTCAGGGACGAAACCTTGGAGGCGTTAGGGGATGCAAACACGGTGGCGCCAGCAACGAGAACAGCGGACCTACACAGTCAATCGCATAAAAACTCTTACCTGTATGTGTTCGATTATCAGACGAAGTTCGGGGACTACCCTCAGGTAAGTTTACCAGTAAAATAAATATAAGCGTAAAAGGCTGTGAAAATAATTCGTAATGTAATCACGAGGCTGTCATTAACCCACATTTCGCATATTTTATTGCTAACGATGATACATTACGCTGTTTCATCGTACATTCACCGCGCACCCTCGTTCATTCAAATTTAAATCCCATTCTTCATCCCCGTACATCCGTTTCCACCCTGACGTTTCCTACCTTGGCGAAAGACGTTCTCTATTGTTGGAACGTGAACCATGAAATTAAGGAAAAATTGTCGTATATTGATGGCAGTTCGATCCTTTCAAATTTATTTCATTTTTTTTGTTCCTTGTATGGTGGTGAAATCTGCTGTGAAACTTTTGAATGTTTTGTTTGAAGATCTTGCAATTTCTACAACATTTCCACTGCTTCGTTATATTACTGCTTCAAGCAATTAAGTATTTCGACTCAAGGGGTGTTTAAATAAGAACTCGCGCTTCTGTGAAAAATTTACTCGTTATCGTAAATACGAAGTTCGTTTAAGGTAATATAAATTAAAGGTACAGGATTTAAATTAACAGTTTTTCCTTCGTTTAATAAATCTGTTCGCCAGCGTAGACATCGTAATGCAGGAAAATAAGGAAACATGGAGGGTATTTTTCAACCGAAAGCAAATCTTTCCATGAAGAAATAACGAAGGAAATCGTAGAATTTTTAATGAAAATGTGAAAGGGTTCTCTCATTTCCAGAGTTTCACAACTTTCGCAAATTTTCATGTAAAATTTTATCTCCATTACATTCTTTATTGTCGAATAAAATTGTCGCTTTTATTTCGCCGCAGAGATGAATATATCATCTTGTAAAATTTTTTTACCATAAATAAAAACCTTCATTTCCCTCCTGATTCCAAGCACAATTTGCATACAGAAAACGACGAAAAAACCTTCCATTTTTTCGGGAAAGAAAATTCGTTATTAATTTAGCACGTTATTTCTCTCGTCGTCCAATCTATTTTACAATATCCGAGACAAAAAATTGTTTCCTTTCTCCCGAAGCAGGGTTGCCTCCTTATTACCAGATGTTGATTATTAAGCGCGACACAATTTGTTTGCCTCCTGAGGCAGGTAATTTTGTGGCCGACAGCTCGAAGCCATTTCAAAAATGAGCCCGGCAATGGGTGAGGAAAGGTAAGGTCGACGGGGGTAAGTCGTTCGAGGATTCGTGGCAATTTTCTGAAAGGGTGGCTGCGCCACTTACGCATCCAATATGCCGCGGGGCGTATGTTCTCCACGAAACTGTGACCGCGGAGCAAATTTTTCGCCGGGTGTCTGGTTATTTTCCGTCTAATTACCTCGTTGCCGCGGATAAAGTGTCGCGAGGGGGGTGCAAGGCGAATTTTCGACATCCCCGAGCTAATTTTTCCTCGATGTAAACTTCGGATGGGATAGAACGTTCTGAAGGTTGTGAGCGTAGATGGCGGGACGGTGGGACACGGGGGAATAGAGGGCGTGACGGTGGGACGCGTGGAGATAGAACGCGTGACAGTGGGATACGTAGAGATACTACGCGTGGAGATACCACGCGTGGAGATACCACGCATGGAGATCTCACGCGTGGAAATACCATGCGTGGAGATACCACGCGTGGAGATACTACGCGTGGAGATACCATACGTGGAAATACCACGCGTGGAGATACCATGCGTGGAGATACCACGCGTGGAGATACCATGCGTGGAGATACGACGCGTGGAGATACACCGCGTGATAATAGGACGCGTATATGTAGAGTATGTTCTTCGATCATAATCTTAATTATCCACGAATTTGTATATTATGATAAAAGTGATAGAAGACGAGTGTTAAAGAACGTGTTATCTCATAGTAGTCGGAATAAATCCGTGAGTGACGTTAAGATGGTGTCCAGTTGCATTTACGCGACTAAAAGGATTACGTTCACGTCGTCGTGCACGATGACCTCGTTAAAACGACGAGCAACGGTCGGAAAGGTTGTTAATTTTTTTCCTGATTACGTTATGCCTCGTGTTATACCTCTGGTCGTTACGATAATTAAGTTTATTGTCCTCGTTATCGTTACTTTCAGCGAATCTCGCGAAACGCACCTCTTCGGTTGCAGACCTTCCTGGGTATCTTCGATGTTTTTAATCGTCCACTTTCGTGAAACCTCGTTTCTTCCTTTCCTTTTTTTTTCCTCTTTATTTTTAACGTTCTTAGAGACGAAAGTTTCGCTTTGAAAGGCGATCAAACTCTACAGCTGCATCGGGGCCTTTTAAGTTTTCAAACTTTTACCGAGGCTACACGCGATGTAAAAGATTTGCTTTGCCCGTTCAAAGTTAATTTCAGTTTGGGGGAAAAAGGAGAGGTAAATGGGATTTCTGACGCTGAAAGGATTCCGCGATCGATGCATTTTTCGATCAACCGTTGTGTAAGCTTTTTTGAAAGCATTCGTTGCAAATAAATGAAATATTTTGCAAGAATACCGAAATTGCCGTGTTAAAAGAAGTCTAAATTAAATTTCGCAATTTATAGAAATCGTTTGTTAATTTGTCCTCCGGTTTTTGTTATCATTGAAATTCGTAATAATTATCGGGACACGGAATCGTTAATGTATTCCGGCAACGTATTTAATCCTGCTTATCGGTTTCAAAATTGATCAGCGCATCGTTACTAAATAATCTGTGAAACGAGCGTGGCGTCCGTTCCTTTTTTCCTGCAATTTTAATCCGTTACGATAACACAGGAAATCACGAATTATAGATGCAAATTGTTCGTCGAGCTGCGACCTGCAATATTCATCAGGAGGATTTCCGTTTATTAATTATTCGTTTTCGGAATTCATTGACGCGTCCGATACGTTCGAAAAAAGAGGGATCGATCATTATCGGTCCGTCAGCTTTCCCGTGAATCCCTTAATCTGTAGAAATAATTCTTCGTAGTACACTTCCGGCGAAATCAAACACCAGAAGATTTCTCGATAGCAAAACGCTCGCAACGAGAATGGCCGGCAACTTCTCGAGAAGTTTAAATTCAGCCCCTCCCTCGATCGTCGCTGATTTTCCTTCCCTCTCTATCTCCCCACTTCCTGTTTCCTGTTTTCCTTTTAAACTCCTTAATCTTGAAAAATAATCCCCGCGCTGCGGAGAAACTAAAGCGATAAAAATCTTGCCGTAACAAAATGTTTTCAAACCGGGAAATCTCGAAACTTTCGAACAAGTCAAATCTCGCTCTTTCTTCCAGCGCAACTAAGATCTTAACTTTCTGTTTCGTCCTTAGGCTCTCTTTTTTTAAACATTTATCACCGAGCTACAACGTTTAGAAACGTCCTTTCAAAGGGACGAAGAATAACGAGCTTTCTGAACAGCTACATTTTCACGCGCGCACGTATCGATTTTCTGAAGCTTTTCGTTTCTTCCTTTCTCTTTTTTTAAGGTTACGTCGAGCGCAATCGTTCGCGTTTCACACGCGCGAATCTCGGAACTTTTCGGTTCTTTTCAATTACCGCACCCTTTAAGCCATTTGTGTACTGGGGCGATCGGGGAATAAAAATTGAATCTATATTGTATCGTCGCATGTAGTATCTCCACGCGTGGTATCCCCACGCCTCGTACCTCCACGCGTCGTATCTCCACGCGTGAGATCTCCACGCATGGTATCTCCACGCATGGTATCTCCACGCGTGGTATCTCCACGCGTGAGATCTCCACGCATGGTATCTCCACGCGTGGTATCTCTACGCGTGAGATCTCTACGCGTGATATGTCCACGCGTGGTATCTCCACGCGTCGAATCCCCACGCGTGGTATCTCCACGCGTACTACCTCCGCGCGTAGTATCTCCACGCGTCGTTCCTCCACGCGTGGTATCTCCACGCGTCGAATCCCCACGCGTGGTATCTCCACGCGTAGTACCTCCACGCATCGTATCTCCACGCGTCCTACCATCACGCCCTCTATCCCGCGTCCCACCACCCCGCCATCTATCCCCATAACCTTCAGAACGTCCTCTCCTATTCCCCGCGAAAATAATAATCGTTAACCTCGCTGATAAACCAACATCCGGCGGCGAACCGAGACGGAAACGCCGAGTTCTAACGTGACACATAACCGATCACGTTACTCGTTGCATCCCTCCAGCAAACTCCTAGTAATTTTACAATTTCCCCTAGCGCATCCGTTTCCTGCGCGAGAAGCGACGCGACCAAGATTTACCGCGCGATGTACACTCGTGTACCACCAGGGGTGGCAATAATCGTTCCCGGAAATTCATCTCCCCAGTTTGAAACTGTTCCTCTTTTGGGATGGGGTGTGTAGTTTCAGACGTCAGATACGTAAGGGGCGTGTCAACGGTGTCAGCGTCTCGGAAGAGCTTGAATTATTACACGGAAAACTTTCTTGGAATTCTTGGAGACGTGAAGAAAAGCGTCAGGTTGACAATTTTTGTCGTTGTTTTGACGTTGGAATGTTTTAGACCGTTCCGGGAATTCGTGAAGTTTATTAGATTTTTGGGGAAGTTACGGGCGAACGTTTGTAACGCGATAACGTATAATAGTGGAGTATTAAAATGATAATAAAGGAGCAATATAGTGTGATGTAATAACATTACGTGGTACAATAACATAGCGTGATGAAATAATTGAATGCATTATGAAAATATATGAATTGGGATAGAGAGAATTAAGAGTATTAAATTTTGTTTGTAATTATGCATATTTTAACACGGTGCAATGTATTAATTATGTTTAATAGATTTTAATGTATTCCCAAAAAAGGGAATGTGTTATAATTAAATTGTAGCAGAAATCGCAAACAGCAAGGTTTAGAATCGAAAGATGATTAACGGAGTTGATATAAACTCTTTCAGCGTAGATTATCCGCTTTTATACGAGGGTGTTAATGCTCTTCTCTATGGTTATTGCTCGAACGCTCGAGGCGGCGTTCAATCGATGATCTAAATTTAAATTTAAACACGCTCCCGCTCGCCTTTGATGTTCCCTCGCTCTCGTAACACGATCATCTTGCACGTTTTTTCACCGTTTTTCTTGTTCTTCTGCCCTTTTGTCGAGCGCCTAAAAATTCCTTTCGTTTTAACGACGGCTGATTGTTTGGATAAAAATAACTTTCAAAGCGATCGCCTTTTCTCTCGAATCCTCTCATTATCGAGATCAATTACCGACGGTTGAAATTTCGTCAGAGGTTTCAGATTTACTGCATCTGCCTCGGATATTATTTCTCGCGAATAAAATATCAAATTATATGACACCTCTCTATTCTGCGATTTAAAGAACTGCATTCATTGAAACGACAAAGGATATCGATAAAACTGCTCAAATAATTAAAAGTAGCATATTGGTTCAATTAAAAACATTTGAATATTCGTTGAAATAAGAGAAAATGGAATTGTAAGTAGTCGAGGTAAACGATTAAGTCTCACTTTAAATTTATAACTGACAAAAAAGATTAAGCTGCTAAATTAAATGATCATTCATTCTCGTTACGTGGCTACATTTCCACAGTTGCGGCTCATGTTTGAAATAATTATCCACGACAATTTACCTTCATTATTTATGAGTTTATAATTTGCAATGAAACGAAGATTACCTTGTTGCGCTGCTAATTTAAACAATTACGTTAAATTTAATTGCTAATGCAATGTGTCTATACAGCTTCGCTAGCCAGCAAATATACGTGAAGCCTGTGTAATGATTTAATTAAAAATTATATTCCTTATTTATTCAAGAGTTAAATATTCAGGAACATGAATTGAAAAGTGAAGATTATTTTAACAAAACCATTGTGAATGTATAATATTGAGATAATAATCCATCAGAAATTTCCTTCCTGAATCTGTGTAGTAATTTACAAAGGATGTTTGCAAACATCCATTTTGATTCGGGGTAACAGTTTCAGTAGTAAAATCGATATGTCCTCCGGACACGTCGATATCCTCGATGATCGAGGCGTCCTCGCCATTACAGATGTCTCTTCCGGAGTAGCAGCTGTTAGAGCGAACTCTGTTCAACTTTCGAAGCAGTTCCGCCAACTTTCATCCCCTGGTGCGGCTTAAGATCGATCAGCGTGCAGTTTCGAAGCAGGTGTACACACGATCCTCGCGTTCCTCCCAATCCGCGAGGACAGGTCTCATCCACATCTCTGTTCTTTTAGATCGCTTTCAAATTTCCTTAAAAATCTCGTCTGAAAATCGAGCTTCATCAACTTTCATCTGGATAACTTTGCTAATAAACATTGTCACGTTACTATGTAAATATGATTCACATATGTATAACATATGATTCACATATGTGATACATTTCAACTTGAGAATTATTTTATTACACCATTGCTGTAATTACAGTCTTCTACCAATCTCTAATAACATTTATTAGAGATCCTAATAAATGTTATCCACACTAATTTTATTAACACTAATTTTATTGACAGTAATTTATCACACAAACGTTGCAATAAAATTAGTAACATTCCTATAAAAAAATGTGAGAAGATAACAAATTGCAAAAGTCTATAAGAAGCAACGTCAACCAATTGCTACAAAGAGTTGTTTCCGTCAGAAGGTTGATTTTCCCCACGGAAAGGTTTCGTGTTATTAAATAATCTTACGTACCCTTTCTTCGCCGGTTTTCACGGACCGGTTGCTTAATTATATTTCGCGAAACAGGCCGGGTTCTTCTATTTACCCCGCAGCTTTCATCCACGCTCGCCACTCTGTATTTCTTCGTCCGTTTTAATTACGAATCGCCATTGTTTACCGCGGCCCGGGCTTTACCAGATTAAATTTATTCTTCGGCTCACCTGACCCACTACAGACTATTTGCTTGCCGCCAGCTAACATTGTACTCTTCGTCCGTGAAGATTCGATTCTCAATCTTTTATGAGGTTGTTTCTAGCCCTTCACGGATACTGCCTCTTGTTAGCTCTCGGCTTTAAATCGATACCCGTCCGCTACGATTCGTTGCACGCTCAAATAAGAACTGAAATTGAATCTTCAGGTTAGAGATATGTGTTTTACTCATTTTATGATGTTCGAAAGTTTTGAGGTTATTCGAAGATTTGTGAATTCGAGAATTTGTACTTGAAAATCTATGAAAGTAAATTATTTAAAAATTGCAGAAGCCAGGCTGCATCCACGGAGAGGATCTGCCATATTTTTTTGGAGCACCCTTAGTAGGAGGTTTGTCTCACTGGCCGAAAAATTACACCCGAGCGGAAATAGCACTGTCCGAGAGTGTGATTCTCTACTTAACGAACTTCGCACGCACCGGGTGAGTCATTGAACAGCAATTTTATCGCTGGATATTGGAAACTACGGTCCGATAAGAAACTAACGATTATCCATGGTGTCTCGACAGGAATCCAAACGAGGGTACACCGGATGTCGGACCTCTCAGACCCGAGAGAACGAAGTCGAAGAACATCGAATGGATCGCTTACGAGGCGGTGCACAAGAAATACCTAAGTATAGGTGAGTCCTTAGAAAATAGTTTCTAGACTGAAGTTGAAAAGAGCTTTTCGATCTACTAAAAATCTTCTCGAAGTTCTACAAACAAGAATGTTCAATTTTTTTTATAAAAAGTAGTAGTTTATACGAAAATATTTTTACTAAAATTAAATCATTTTTTGTTAGAAGACCAATGTCGTTCTGAAAACCTCAGTTAATTTTCCTCTCCAGTTTGCCTTCGAATTTATGGTGATTTCATTCAAGAAGAAAATTTCCCACATAAAGTCGCATGATTTTGCAACGTACGATAAAAGCTTTTCGTAGGAAAATCAATTTAGTGTGATGAAGACGTGTCACCCTTCAAACAATTCCATTACAATTTCTCCCATCTCCATTTCCAACATTTTGTGCTGATTTAACGCGACATTTTGTATACGTAATTATGCATAAATAAGCAGCAACTTTCGCAAAGTCTCTTGATAGTGTTAGATCTGAAATATCCTGTTAGGTGTAAAGGTCTGAGCTAATAAAGTTAAGCAGTAAACTTCGAGCTTACCAGCGTAAGTCTTTAAAAGCTCCGCTTAATGAAAGATATTGATTTTTACCCTTCAAACGTGAAGCTTCGGAAGTGGTTATACTCATAATTTATGGATCAAACACGTTGCTACATTCGCCTTATGCAAACTCTGGCTGCTATCATACTTAATCAACTTCTACCGCTGGTACTCCATATTTCGATTCCCATGATGCCCTTCTACCGTCTGCAGTTTCAAACTCGTTCCATTTCAGAAATGTACGATACGTCTGCTCAAAATGGGAACTGCGCCCTTTATAATCATGTAGCTATTCAATGCGTAGCAATTTAACACGTGGTGATTCGACGAGTAACGATTAGAAGGTGTGGCTACGCGGCGCGTGAAATTGCAATACATATTACACCGCGTAGAATTTTGTAATGGCCGGAATATCGCGTGGAATTTTGCACCTGGATCTCGTGGATTTGCAACGGAATTTTATAAACGAAATTATTATTAATGGACGGAATTCTTGCGCATTACGAATGAAATTTTATAACCGGGATTATAAGACAAAATTACGATGCGACCTAAACCGGGAAATTACAACGCGTGGTCTTACAAACCGTGAAATTACGAAGCACGAAATTAAGAAACTTAACTGCGATAACTTAAAGGCTAATAATGAGATTAAATTCGAAAAAATGCTATTTCCTCCAGCAACGTTTCGCAAGAAGATCTTGCAGGGTCTGAACCGGAAGCAGGAATCATGATTTAATCCGATTACCGTCTAAAGTGTGTATAATGAAGTAAGTCTCAGGTATACGGGCACGCACTTCGTATATGTGTAACTAAGAGGATCAGCCATGATTTATTTGCATAATTCTCGTTCTCGACGAGGAACGAGAATGGCAGTCCGTCACTAACACGCCCCCAGTAACCGAGAAGTTCACTTTCGCACTGAATTTCATGCTGCTCTTCAAATTGCATCCATAACTTTGAAATGAAAAGGCGACGATCTAGCGTCACCTGTGTCCCCGTGGATTTCTCGTAATCTTTCGGCAATCTGAACCCTTCCTCTTCGTCGAACCCCTATTTCCGTTCCCGGAGTCCCAGGGAAAAGATCGATAGAAAACGTTTAGCGAGTTATTACCCTTCAAAATTGAAAGCACGTAAACTCACGAGACATTTTTATAATTTTAATCACCCTATTCTAATCTGGATTTTGACTTACAAACCTACGTTTCCAAAATTAAATCCAATCCCGAAACAATAGAATCGTAACATGGCGACAAGAGTATCGCAGTTAGGTTTTCGCGTGGTTCCATCTGCGTCGAAATCGCGTGTCGCGTTAGCAAGAACAAGCGAGAAAGAAAAGTCTGGCAGGAGAATCAGCAAGCCGAGAGAGGAATAGCGTCGGTTGCAGGGAAGTTGGCTGATGCTCGAGCTCAGTGCGGCTCAAACTATGCCACGGTGTGACCGCAAGTAGAAAAGTCGACGCAAAGCCAGACCGGAAGTGGGGTAACCGGTGCCTTCTCTAAGCTTGTCTGCTCCCGTGGCGTACAGAGTCGACAGTTTCGAACTTTGAGGCGCACTGGCTAACGAAGCTGCCTTCTGTACGAGATTACCACGCGACAATAATTAATTACCCCGCTGTTAATATGAAAGGGCTCCGCTGGCAAAGCGGCTTTTCGAGGTTACCCTGCGACTAGGTTGACCCGGTACGATTTGCTGGCACGATTCCCACGAAGAAAAGAGACGTTTCTTCTCGTTTTCCTGCCTCTTTCGCGAAATCCAATTGAGACTCTTCCTGCTTACAGAGCTCAAGTCGAAACTGAAGAACCACTATAGGGCGCACAGGCTCTCCTTTTGGCTCAACCTGGTGCCTGACCTCCACAAACCTGGATCCGACGATGTTCCCAGGTCACATCATCTTCTTGACACTGAACAGGTAAATTTTCATAGATATATTTCAGAAATTTCACGGGAAGCAAGATTATTCAGGATAATTCTGTTGATATTTGCCGGGGAAGATATGTTTATGAAGTTCCAACATTGTTCTGACGTTGCAGCTATCTCCGTCAAGGATCTGAAGACTGACAGAGCTAACTCTCCGTCTTCAAGTCCTTTATGTAACCTACATTGCTGACGAATCTCATCTCCACAGAGACCCTTTCAACGATTAACCGACATTCTGTACATTCATAGCTCACAGTAACATCTTCCCAGAGAAGCATAATTTGTAAATTTCAAACATTTTAAGTTCACATTGAATTCAAGTTCCTTCAAGCTGCCTTGGTCTACCTCGGTTTATGTTTGACAAACTCCAAATGAATGTCCTTAACTCCTCCGTATTGCAGGTGCCGCCCAGGTTCATCCAGAGGATACCAACGACAACCCGGATGACCACAGCGGAGGTGACGCTGACGGAGCGTCCCCAGAACGCAACAACCGCTATACCGAGTGAGTTGGCGTTCGAAGACTCCACTGCCCAACCCGAAGACGGCTTCGCGGCTTACTCCACGGCCCTCAGCGTGACGATAGCGATAGGCTGCAGTCTCCTGATCCTAAACGTGCTGATATTCGCCGGAGTGTACTACCAGCGCGACAAGAGTAATCAGCACAACTGTTCGAAGAAGCGGCAGGAGAACGGGCAGATGCCGAACAACATCTGCGGCGACCTGGACACGAAGACCGCCGAGAGGCACCACATACAACACATTCCCCCACCGGAGTTCGCTGATCTGCAGAACAACAGTTGTCACGTGCCCATGCCACCGCCCCCGCCGAAGAACACGAAGCCCGGGAAGCCCGGGCAGAACCTGATCATGAGTCCCAACCAGCTTCAGCAGGAGAGCATGGCGATGACCGGTACGGGCACCCTGAAGAAGGGGCATAATCATCAGCAGCAGGTGATGGACGAGCTGAGGGTCTGACTCCACGAGTACCTCGCAGTTGACGCCGGGTCGTGGACCTTCGGTGAAAAACTGGTCAAGGTGCTGCGAAGTGCGTCGTTTTGATCGTGTACGCGAGGCTGACCTTGAGCCTTTGTCGTGAACTTCTTGGCAGCTGTGGAACGAATCGGTTATTTTGTAGCCGGATCATTGGATATCGAAATTTATCCCGGAGGATGCTTCGAAATTAGCGGAACTCGAGGCAGGTTTTTCTTTCGGTTCTCGTCGTTGAAATTGATGTTGTATTTAATGTAATCATTCGTTGAATTTGTATCGCTGTCAACGAGACACGGAGCCAATGTGTTCATTCACGACAAGGACGAAATCGATCGCGTTCTTGACGATTCTTGACGATTCACGAGAGATCCTTGAAAGTCATCAAGAACGTTCGTTGGAATTCGAAAATGATAGGAAGCCCTTCGCGAACGGACTCACTCGTACGAAGTGAAAGTGCCGCCTAATTTGTCAGACGTTATCGTTTTCTACTCACCGCCAGATACAGAATGCATTGCGACCAACTGCCGACAAATCGCGTAACCGTGTTGTAGCCAGATTTATGTAGAACCTTCTCGAGATAACGCAGAATATATTTTCCAACGATCGCCTAATCGATTTGCCAAACGTTTTCCAGAAGAGCGTAAGTCAAACACTCGAGACTGCACCTTTTGTAGTACCCTTTGTGGTCCAATCATTCTTTTCCGTTTATGTTCTTACTGAATTATACACACTATTTAACACGTTGGATCTATACAACAAAAATACAAATATAATAGGTACTGAAAATGGTAGGCTTGTCTGAAGAAAATGGCGATATAGAGAAAGTGAAACGTGAAAGATTTAAAAATTTAGGAATCGAAGAAATGTAAAAAATTTGAGAATTGAAAAATGAAACAAAATTTTGACTTGAACGCTGTCCAACGTGTTAAATATAAAAAACAAGGAACTAGACCTTCCAATAATTGCGTTCATAGAATAAATCTACATATGGAGTCAGATCAATTACAAAACGCACTCTTTGGACAAAGAGTGTGATTGGTCCCGTTTCCAATAAACCCCTATTGAATTCCCATCAAGCGATTTACAAAAGCGTTCTATTTTCAACAAATCTCTCCATGTACATTTGTTCAAGCGTTGACGGTTCTTTCAGAAAAAAATGCTCAATAAATAAAATAAAAAACAGAGACGAACGAAGAAGCAAATAAGAGAAAGTTCATCGACGAAATTGTATAATTGAGAACTCGAATCGAATGACACCGGGTACAGTTTTTTAAACCCAGAAAGGATTGTAGCAGATGAAACAGCGAGATCAGTTTGCGATTTATCATTAAAAAAATAAACAACATATACTGCCAAACGAATGGAACGGTCACTTTTAGCTGACTACGTGAAATCAATACGAAGCAGCGTAGCTACTTCGACAGCGAGAATCGATTAATCGATTGCGTGTATAGGTTGTGGTTCAAAAGAGTGGATGAAGAAAAAACGAATGAATCGTTTTTAGAAAGGTTTCTTTTTTTCTAAGAGTGAAATGTTGGACGAGCGAGAGAGAGATTGAATGAGAGAGAGGGAGCCATGGACTCTTGACTGAAGAATGAGTTTAGACTGTAAATAATGAATAATTTAAAACTTAGTGGTTCGTCGAGTCGCTGATATTGAAAGGAGGAGCAAGGGAGAATGGAAAATCCGATTGTAACTGCACTTGTCGAGTAACGTGGTGGTGTGACAGCGTAGAAGCACTGGACGTAATTTTAAATTTGTATATAATTGACATTACAATAAACCATGTAAACAATTACTATCAAACACAGCGTTATAAATTCTTAGCAGAGACATTTTCATCCCCCATTCATTCTCTTGGTGTTTTCACCAATTTACCTTCACCTTACCTTCACAGTTTTTTACCCAAATTTATTTATAAAACTACATTTAGAATTTTAATAAATTTATCTCCCCAGTTATTAAATTTCTAAATGTTTCCTAAGTTGTGAACCTTCTGAACTTTCATAGTTGGAAATCTCTAAATGTTACGTAAGTAGATTTCCTTGTCTTGGAACTTTAAAGAATTCCCTGACTTTTCAGCTTGATACTAGAATCAAAATCCCTGTGCATATTTAAAATGTTCTTCCAGTTTTTCGACGAAATTTCTGTGTCAGGAATTAGCAAGTCAAAGTATAGTTTGACTGTGGCCTCTTAAAATACTCTTGTTCGCCTCTCGATATGAAAGCTGCCTCTAAAAATTCAGAACGCTATTCTAGTCTCGCGATATAATTAAGTTTGAGGATACTTTATCCTCTAGGAGAGATAAGAATTTTATGAAAATCGTAATTGGATGAAAGGCGGTACGCAGATGGTTCGTCAAAGAACCATGAGGAAAATGCAAAAATAGCAACGATAACTCGTTTCGTCTTTCTGCATGCACTTTTTAAATCATCCATAAGATATCTCGGTTTAAAATAAAAATCTCCCGAATCGACAAGAATAAACACAACCACGGTATCAATATTCGACGATAAATTAATCAGACTCGGGATCAATATTTTATTCGTTTATTTATTTAGACGTATCGGGTCAAGATGTATTGATTAACGCGGTACAATTATTTGAAATTTCAAGTGTCAGGAAATGAAAAATTCAAGAAAAATGCAGGAACTGCAACTGAAAGAAATGTAGAAATGGTTAAGAAAATAACAGTTCAGTAGTACAGGTCAGACACAGTAGAATAGTTCATGGTCAGACTAATACCGTATGTCGGTAAGTGATCAGATAAGTAGATGATCAGACTACTAAGCATTTGCAAATGACCCGACAAGTAATCGGGCTAGTAAATGTCAGTCGATTATCAGACAGGTAGGGAACGTTTATAGACTAATCAGTAGATAATCAGATCAACAGATAATACTGGAAGATTAGCTATTGGTTAGACTTAGAATACACCCACCAGGATAATAGCATCCCAGAGGTATTCAAACTAGTAGCCACTATTGAACAGACAGTAGAGCAGGATAGTATGTGGTCAGACATGTTTAATTTTAATTTAGAACTCCCTTAGGATCTCCCAAGCTCTCCCTACTTTCTAAACTAGCCTATGTTGTAACTAAATGTAAAAATATTAAGGGTGTTCTGATTTTTAAATGAAGTCACAGATGTTTGTTTTCAATTATATTTCTGCAAGATCTCGTTTGATCACGTTAAACAAAAGCGTACATTAGTTCCTATTTTATTATAATGTATCGGAAACTTAAAGCCTTGGTACTTAACCCTTCGAGAGGTGAATTCCTTCGTCGAATCGAAACACGATAAATCGAGACGGCTACGGAAAACGATACGAATCATTGTATAAAAAGTGAGAAAATGAACACGCAAGAAAGTACATACCGTAAAAGCTTGCCTTTCCAATGTATATATTAAAAGCTACGTAACAAGTTATGAAATTGAGCTAGGCTACGAGATAAGAATCGAGGAATCTCCACGAGTCGAAGGGTCAACGTTACAATCAATAAATATCGCACCCTACTGCTACGTTAAGTTTGACAATTGAATTGCAAAGAGACGATACAGCGAATACCTCTATTTAACTAAGAAACATCGGCTACGATAAATTTAGCCACGGAACGCGGCTGCCTTGCAAATTACATTCACAAGAGTCCTTTGAAATGCTACAAATCATCGGTCGCTACACGACTATCGAATCTCCGCTAACCCTTTCGCCACGAAGAGCTTGCTTCCCGAACCGACTCAACAAAATTATTGCTCTTTTCTTAACATATTAACTTATCGTTAAATATTCCCCTACAAACAATTACATTGTCAAATGAACATTAGGTTTCTGAAATTAAAGGTGTGTTTAGATAAGTAATCAAATTACTAGAAAAGCAGTGAGACAAGTGATCACACAAAATGTCTCACACCTGTCTGACTACCTGCCTAACTACTTCACTAGCTACTTGTCTTCTCTAAACGCACCCTAAATGTACACTACAAGCTTATCACTAAAACTGAGCTCAATAAATATCAATATAAGAGTACCGTACCTAACAGGAAAAGTCTAATTATAAAAAAATTTGACCTACCCTACCGTGACGAAAGGGTGACTTGAAACCGAAACACTGTCAATCCCACCGCGCCCCCGAAAAGCAAGCACCGTGGATCACCGAACGATCATCGCATCGTCCCGACTAGATCAGCGTATTTCAATTTATCCTATCTTCGCCAGAACGGAGGAGACACCGCTCGCATCTTGTATGATGAAAGATGATTCTCATTTAGGCGTGAGCTTTGCAATTCAATGCGGAGAAATGATGAAATATCACGAGTCACGAATGCGAAGAAAATGCGAAGAAGTGTCTCCTCCGCTCGCGAGGTCGAAAAGAAAATATACGCTTCGTGTACGCGATCAAAATTTGTGATTCACATTGTTCTCGAGGCTTTGAACGTAACGGGAGGACTTTGAAGCGTTCAGCGATACGAGGTCATTTCGTTCGAAAGCTTTTCGCAGAGCTCTGCAAAATGTGGAACTCAGGGGATTTTGGAAGTTTTAGAACTTTGGGAATTGGAACTTGGAATTTTGGGAATTTGAAACTTTTCCTAACTCTTCCCCTTCTCTAGCTAATGTTCTCTGACATCAGTTCGCGCCCAAAGTGCTTACCCATCACAATATCAATTATGCAACTTAGAGAACTAGCTTAGACTCGTATCAGTGAAGCTTCAAAGTCCCCAAGCGCAGCGCACGATACATAATGGCGCGAATCGACGCTACACGACACGTTATACGAAAGGGGTTGCGCTAGAGAGACAGTTGAACGTTGAGAAAATGGTGCTAGGGCACGTAGAGCTCGCATTAAGCACGGCGGATTAATGAGTTACAACGCACGACTCAACTTCTGTTCCGTTTTCCCGAGGAATAAGAAGCCTTATCACATCAAATGTACAACGACGACACCGGAGAAACCTGCGCCCGTCTCGCAACACGTCGACGAACGAAGCTTTCTCGTCCTCGCGTTCTCTCCTTCGCACGCGTCTACGGATTTTCTTGTTTTATCTTTTCTCTAAGTTCTAACATAGCAGGTGCAAAATTGGCCCGCTTCTCTCGTGGCACTCTTCTCACCCCCGTTTGCACAACTCGACCGCTCGAACCCTCCTCTCTCGATTTCGTCGCATTTTCAAAAAGACGTTCGCTCGCAGTACGTTCTTATGGGCCGCTAAAGTTTCTTTGATTCGTTCGTTGGATAGTTTTAAATTAGCACTCAGTCGGTCGACCCGTCCACGCACTCCTTCGCTACTGTTTCTCGAATTTCGTAGAAAGAAGACGCGTCCGACTTCCGCCTAAATTAACTAACAATTTCCCTTTCGATAAACGCTTACAAAAGTGCGTGACCGCAAAAAATGAAATTCGCTACGAATTACAACAGATTGAGCATAGTTCCGTTCTGAAAGTAATCTGGGGTCACTTTTGCTCTCCTAAGCGCGTCTCCTTTCTCGACTTCGGCACGTATCGAGTCGGTCGCTTATTTTTAATCAAGAGATATCGAAAAACGTCTATAAATATCGTTTAATTACGAGTACAGTATCATACATCCGTCAAACGATTTCGCCGTCGAACAGATTCGTCGATAAAACTCGTTCTACGCGAATTACAATATTACGTGGTTCGCAACTGATCAGAAATAGGTCGTTCGATCGTGTTCCTCGACTACCGGTGGGCTACTAAACACGTTTTTTTACTTTCAGTCGTTTCACGTTTACTCCTAGGTTCTCGTGTGTTCCTAAAGTATCTCGTCTAAAGCATTTCTCGGTGTCTTGTGCGTGTTGGGTAGAGATCTTCGCGATCAAACGAACGATGATAGGATGAGGCGAGACTGGTCTATTCGGCAACATCGATCTTCATCGAATCGAATGAAAACCGATGTCATCATCGCGATATCGGTATGAGAATTATGCTTGAAAGGTTCGCCACATCGGAAATGGTGATATGTCAGAAAAAGCTGTTGCGTATTGCTTCGTTTGCCCAAGAACACGGGTACAAAGATGTCCTGAAGGAAAGGCCACCCTATCATCGTGACAGAAAGTTTGACATTAATGCATGAACAACGCTCATTAATTTTAGAACAACGATTTCCGGTTCACACAGTGAATGACAGAAGAATCGGTAGCTCTCGTTGAAAAGAGTATTTCTCGGCAGATACAAGAACGTAACTATACGCACTATATAAAACGCACGAAGCTGTTCGTTATCGTTATATAACAATGATTAACATGAAAACGCAGCAACGTATCACACGCTACAATAAAGACGACGTTAAAACGAGACTGGATTCAGGGGCAGAAGTAGTCGGTGAGAAACGGTGTCGATGAGACGTGTGTGTTGTTGTTCGTGTCCTCCATCTTGCGAGTAACTTATTTGGGCCACGATGTAGACATCAGAAGAAGCCAGCATCCCGTTAATAGTACTTGTGATGAATTTCTTTTTTTCTTTTTGTTTCTTTCTTTCTTTTTGGTTCGTATCTGAGAATGTCTCAAGAAGTTTAGCATTAATTAGCTGCACTGATTATTAACCACCTTCCTAGCAGATGCAGCCGCTCTCTCCCTCCGACTCGGAGCCGTTCTGCATCGGTGATTGATTCTGCAAATCGACAGCTGCTTTCGTGTGTTAAGGCGTTATCACAGTAACCATTTTGATTGGGCTTCAAGGATTCGCGGGTTTACAGTTACCGCTCCATAAACACCTGCTAGCTAAATACGCGTTACAATCTTCCCTCTTGAAATTTAGAAATTTGTGAATTTAAATATATATATTCGTCGTTCGAGGTTTCCGTGTAGCTACACAACACGCTACATTGCAATTAACAGTAATATGTGGCAATATAGATTGCAGATATTTATCAAACGGTTACTGTACATCTTCCAATAAAATCGCTAACGTTCCCACTAATCAGACTTCGTTCAAACATTCGTTGCATCGAACAATTTGTGTGGACTTCTTGACTTATCCGCGTAATATCAATAAAAGATTCATTAACGTTACAATGTAAAAAGAATGTATTAGGCCTTAAAAATTGTAGTATATAAAGTCGAATTGTTTAAGCAGCATAAAAAAACTCACAACTACTCCTTAAATGTAATTAATCTTTAATTTAGTCCCATTACGTTTGAGTAGAAAATAAGTACGATTTCAATTATTATTCTTTATTCTTTTTTGGCTTTTTCAAAGCTAGAATAGCTGTGTAATTAAAAAAGCGTATAAAATTTAAACGGTTCAAAAAACGGGACGGACCGTTCGCTCGTGTTTAATTGTAAGTGAAATGTTTTACAGCCACGAAGCACCTTAATTAAAATTATACAACGAGTGCTGTCTGTCACATTCATACAATATGATACAGAGTATTTGTATACGTATAAATCTTGATTAAAACATATTACACGGACGAAATGAAATCTTGAAAACATTCATGAAACTAGGAAACGCGTGTAACAAGGAGAAATGGCAAGAAAAAAAAATTATGGTTTTCACAAAAAAATCAATATATAAAAAAAAATTAAAAAATGCTATTTAAGATTTTTTATATAAATTAAAATATTACAATAATTATTAACAAAAATGTCATAATATTAGGTATAATAGCATTCTGTCTATCCACATCCCAAAATTTTAAGTTAATATATACAGACGAAATTTTTTAAGTATATCTTTTTCCTTTTTGCTGACTACTTGCTCTATCTATGTTTTTTCTTTTTGTCTTTACGAATGAAAAAGTCACTTCGAAATATATAAATAATACTTCCACAGGAAATGCAATGTGTTAATTTATGCAATGGTTGTTCCGATTTGCGGAAAACCTTAATGCAATGAGCAATGTATGTTCTTAAAGTAATCAGTTTTGTAAATTAGACAATGTTAGCTGCTGATTTTGCATTGTTGTGATTCTGTTTCTCTCTTTTCCTATGTTATTAGCACGCACGCAGGTACATTTCGTACAAGTTCTCTTCTTTAGTGTACCGATTCGAATTTAATTTTAATAAACGTACAAAATTCTTATTGCTCGTATTTACGATCAGTTCGAATGAATAAAGAATTATAGCTGACTAATATTTTGACTGCATTTACGCAACACGTAATTTCACGTATTTCCGTAATCTGACGGTTTATTTCGTCGCAACTTATATATATACATGACTATAAATATATATAAGTGCACCATATCATGCAGTTGCAGCACTGATCATGCATAGGACTAGTATCTCGGTCGATGTTGTTTCTTTTCTTTAGAATGCAAAACACAGAAAGTCTCATTACTTGTAATAAGTACACGCGATAAATAAAATGTTTCTTATGAAAATGTTTATTTTACAGTCAAAAAAAGAGGATCATAGCACTATCTAGAATGACAATCCATTAGCCATTGACATATTAAAAAGCAAGCAGCTCCAATGCAATTTGCGAGATTAAATAATTTAGATTATGTTGATGCTGTAACTTACTAATACATATAAACACGTTATTGTGTAAAAGCAGTCCGCTTAAACTACCGTGTGATATTTATTTTTCATGAAGGAAAAAGAAATTATAGCTATCTAATACAGTGCTGATACTTTTCACGTTGTAAATTGTGGAAAAGACACGGACTGTAGGTCACTGTCCTAGCATTGAGAGTTTAATTTATAATTTAACTTAAATCAGTGTCTTATCTACCGTTAGGCTGATCGGTGGCTTAACATGCACAACTGCTCTCCGATGCTTTCAGTTCAATTGGTGTATCCTTGAGAACTACTTCTTGCACTACAGGTTTAGCAACACATTAAGGAAAACACAAAAGATAACGGAAACAACTTAAGTTGTTAATAATGTTAAATAATAATATTAAAAATAACATATTCGAAATGATATTCAAAGGATGAATAACAGCTATGAAAAATTTGAAAGATATATAGAAATATATAAAAGTGATAATATGATATGTTTGAGAATGATTTTGCTGTAAGAAATGTTTCAAAGTTAAATGATCAATAATCCTTTCTAGAAGATAAGCTGAAATCAGAAGAGAAATTAATAAGTTTCAGATTATGTAACAAACATAACTGTAGTCAAAATTGAGGATGTAGGATCTGGTTCTTATCACTACTTTCGAAGAAAGAAAACCTGAAACATGATTCTGTGTATATATAACATGCAAAAGTGTGCATTATGTATCTTACTGAAAGGATACTGTCTTCAGGAGGTTTATTTTCAGTGGAATCCATGCCTGGTAAAGCTGCTGCTACTCTTCTAAATAGCTGAAGAAACAGATAAAATATGTTTAATATTATGTTAAGATTTTTAAAAGTAGCAATCAATACTAAGGTAGTATACCTGCTTCACATTATATCCAGCTTTAGCACTAGTTTCAATAAACATTACATTTAATTCTTTAGCTTTTCGTTCACCTTCTTCCATTGATACCTGCCTTTTATCACTCAAATCTGTCTTATTACCCACTAACATAATAATTACATCACTTCCTCTTTCAGTCCGTACATCATCAATCCACTTTGATGTTTGATGAAAAGAATTTGGATCTGTATAAACATTCTGTCTGAGCTTTCCATAATTACCAGATAACACAACACTTTCAATTCAAATTAAACTTACTAGTAATATCATATACAACAACTGCTACCGTCGAATCTCTGATGTAACTAGGTATCAAAGATCTAAACCGCTCTTGACCCGCAGTGTCCCATAGCTGTAATCTTACAGTTCTATCCTCCAGATACATAGTTTTGCTTAAAAAATCTATACCTATTGTAGCCTGCAACAAATAATAATATGCTTCATTGCTACTTTGCACATGAAACATACTCCATATGTTGAGACTTATTTAATGAACTTCAATTTGAATAAAAAACATCACTGAATCATTGTATTTATAATATTCTAAATGTTGAGATTCTGTTCAAGGAATAAAATAGAGCAATGTAATCAATATTCTCAAGTAATTTTACAATGTTGTTTGTTTAATTCTATCTATTAAGAAAAGTCAATATCTTGACCTCTCTACTATCTCTCCTGCTAGCATCTACCCTAACAGCTGATGTTGACCATTTTAGATAATAAAACTGTATCTTAGCTTAAAATTATTAGTAAATTCAAATGGAGTAAATAGAACAATGGATGAAACACAAAAACTTGCTATGTCTTCATATGGTAATTGGAAAGTGTGTCATTGAAATATGGATGATGTCAGAAATTCAAGGTGTGGGTTTAATGCATAATAAAGAAGGTAAATAACAATATAGTCAAGTTGTTACAAAAAACAATAAAAATGTGATGACATACATTATTGAAGTAGGACATTTGGCTTAAACTGTAATACTTAACTATGAGCAAACTTAAATTTTTAAGTTACATATACGTATATGCATATACCACGAAACCATTAGCTTCATACCTGATAAGTGTTGTCAAAGCTGTCATACATAAACCGTGTGATAAGAGACGTTTTTCCAACTGCAACATCAAATCACACGATTAATGCAAAAAAAATTGATCAATTTATAAAAAAATATTAAAATCAAAAGCAGCAGAGTATTACAATTCTGAATGATTTTATAGAAAATTTAAATAAATACATATTCATAATGAAACAATCATTTCCTTTATTTGTGCAATTTATTTAAGTACATTTTTCATGACTACATTTTATAATTGGATTATACCGATTAGTTCCGCGATCTTTCGAAAACGGGAAACAAATATAACGGAGAGAGACGTACGAAGGTGGGTGCATAAATTATGAATTTTAATGGTTAATAAATATTTCTGCGAATACTGATGAGAAAAAGGTAGATTTCTACAACGAAACATAGACAAAATCACAGAAATTAGTAGAATTGAATGTAACAATAGGACGGTGACAACAAGAACGACGCCGAATTCGATCGCACCGATAAAGTTGCACGGTGACCAGAAATATTGATCTAGAACCTAGAATGGTTATTGGTACTGATACGTGTCATTAAAATTCTGGTGTTCGATGCTGAAGAAATCATCATTAATGGAAAAGCAACAACGCGCAATGCCGATATTGATCGAAAATCAACGGAAGTATGTGCGGACAAATACTTACCGCTCTGTTCACCGAGAAAGACAAGCTTGAATTTACGCAACGGGTTTCCGAAATCACCCGAAGACGACATTTTTCGTGTCTGACAGACCTACTGCACGATGAGTAATCGATTATAAGCACACGGCAACAACTTAATCAATGCGACGAGTCATTAATTTTCACAAAGATATCACTTAATTTGACAGATCGCTAAGCCACTCCTTCGTTCGCTCGCAAGGCAGCCACGTTTAACTGGGAAGTGACGTCATTGGTTAGTTGCTAGTCTTGTGAATTTCTGATAGTATTCCTCTAGATGGCGCTTGAAAACTTCAAATACATTACCACAGACGAGAATATAGGATATAGACCACTCACACAATGCATTTTTATGTCACACGATTAGGGGAACTACGCAGACCCAACCTAACCTTGCCCTCTTACCATTTTCAGGTCACGTTCTACTGTATCGATCGAGACTCGAATCGCAACAGCGCCTTTGGCGGCAAAAATTCAAATTGAAATCATTTTCCGCGCGAAAATTTGAAGTTCAATAACTTTCTTTTTTAATTTAGAGATTTTCAGTAAAATGAATAGGTTCAAATAGGTATAGTTTTATTGATAAGATATAGTGATCAATTAGAAAGGTAATCTTGTACATCTAAATTTTCTTGTTTAATATTCGTTTGCGTATTACAATTTTCTATCGTGGATTGCGGGGAAGTTCGAGGGGTGTTGGAATCAGACGAAGATCGGAATGAAGTGTTTGTAGGAACTGTCTTATTATTTCGGAGGTAGCTTAGGCGGGTGTTAGAAATAAGGGATTGAATGTCCGTTTGCAATTGCAACGCCATTTCTAAGGGAAGACTTTGCAATTGAAAAGCAATCGAATTTCCAAACGCGATGAATTCGTTATGTACGAACGACACGACGTGCGCTCTGTGAAGTGTGGCTCCATTTTCTGGGTGTCCTACATTGAACTTTTTCGTTGGATGAGGACCTGTCACAGGATTGCTGTACTGTGCAATCTCATCATTTGACTCTTGCGAGTTGCTATACGTATCAATGTCTGAAGTTATTATTTCATGTTGACTTGCATCTTGAGAATCTTCTACTTCCTGTAACGAAATATTAAAGGGATCACCTTGGTAGTTCAACCAAATTGGCGCCAATTTCTGATTAAATTAATTTGAACAATTTGTCATGTTACAATGAAAGTAAGGGAGATCTCTTTGTAGTTTCCGATAAGCGAAACGGTAACGAGTTAAGAAATCACGAACCGTTTGAAACTACCCGATCAGATTTAAACTTGCAGTAGGCACTTGCACACTATTAATATTGACCGTGACACGGGATCATATCAAGTCACCTATCAAGGGAGGTAAAAGTGGTTCCAAGAAATCTCCAATGAACGTTTCTTCTCCGTTGCGTGCAAGTAAAAAGGAACCCACAAGAAGTGACACCGGGTGATGTCGGACCCGCGCACTATATGTATAGCGGTACCGATTGATGTAGCCGCAGACAGGGCCGTATCATCCTGTTTTTATATACATCTTGCATCCATATTCTACTAATCATACGTAATTTCTTTTTAATCTCGGTAACAGGAATTAAAATAAAATTCGGACGTTAAGGGAAAGGAAATGGAACCCTAAGAGAACATAAATTCTAAAAGTCACATCAATGGTCCCTTTTTAATAGTTCAATTTACGACTCGGGCTTATCATGTTAGTCCTGAATCAAATGTGTTAATGTGTTAGGGTGGGAAGTGAGAGAATTCTCTTTCGTACGGGGACACCAGAGCGCGTACGGTCCTGAGTGACGTTACATCAATCGGTGCCGCTATGTGACTCGGCGCCTCTTCTTCAGGGTTGTTTTTCATTCGTGTGCAACAGAAAAGGAACATGTACCGATGTAGGGCCGTCATTACAGTTTGTAGAGCCCGGACCAAATACCCGGTACCCTTAGTTTAATTTTAGTCCCAAACAAGGCAACATTTAAAAAAACAATTATAAAAATTATTCATGAAATAAACTTGAGATAAATGAAATGATAAATTATTTAGAGGATTTTCTGAAACATTTTATTGCTTAATACATATAACAATTCACTTCCACAACATAGATGTTTACTTTACCCAATTTGTTTCGGCGTACAGTTCCGTCATCGGTCTCAAAAACTTATCCGCCGTTTCGAACCAGATAAGTCTGGGTTTGTATATCTTTTTGCCATTCTTTATCGAGTTTCTTATTCTCCTTATTTCCGTGTTATAAGTACCGCGTATACTTCTCATTTTCTTTTTAAGGAATTTTAAATTGTCGATGCCAGTTTTGCGCATTAGGACCTCTTCTGCTTGGTTCCTCATTTGTCTGTCTTTATAATGCACATGGCCCTTATCCCAAAGACACGGGTGTTGTTTGTATTCTTTTAAAAAACCCTCCACGTCAAAGCGTTCCACTTCGTGTTCCATGTTTTTTGAACCGCGTATACTACGAGGATTGTACGCACTAGAAAATATCTAGAAACCTAACGCACGCACATTTAAAAATTACCTAGGTACACTGTAAACAAGTTGGAAAGCAATGATTTCGCGAAGACGATACAGTTAACTGTTCGCTGTACAGCGAAGGAAAGAACCCTTGGATTCTACAGTTTCGCTTTATATACGTTCACACCGTTAAAACACACACCAACACGAATCCCCAGCTATCGTGTAGCACGTGCATTCTCGGGGATCGCGGTCACCCGAAAGGTACGTTTTCACGTGACAGTAAATCGCGACTTTTATTGCCGCAGCACGAAATGCCACGACTTGCATCGCGAAAAGCAGAAAGACGCTGTCACGATATTGGATTTACGCGTCGCGACTTCCACGCAATCAAATCTTTCATGTTACATTGTCACGATACGAGATGTCGTGACATTTGTCATCGTGATAACTATTCACAAATAAATGTTGCGCTATCGAGATTTTGATTTCTAATGTCACCGGATGGTGTACATGTAAGAATATGTACGTCTTTTTTCAGAAACAAACCTTGAATGTCACAGTATTACAACGGCAAAATGTCGTGACTTTTAGTATCGCAAAGGTACAACTGCGGGCAGGCGTTTGAAAAAATGTCACGCCAGTAGAAGTCTCGACTTTTGATCGCGGCGCTTTTGATGAAATGTGAAAACATACCTTAATGTCGCGACACGAAATGCAATATCGTGACAACGCGATATTGCAGGTCCCAGGTTTTACAACATAAAGGTTATGACATTTCGTGACTTAGCGATAATGCCACGCAAAAATGCACGATATTAATTACCGGATATGCAACAACACAATCGTTTGACTTAATCTTTTGACATTTACTTATAATGTTAATAGTATTCTCAGATAATGTTCGATTCGTTTGAAGCGCTAAAATCGATAATTTAAAAAATTGAATTTCGCGGGTGTCTAACGCGCTACCGTCTAGCGCAGCGACGTATGAATGGCGCGCTTTTGTGGGTGTTGATGGGTAATTTTTCTGCATTTGAAAATTTAAAGTTCCGCTGCGTACCCTGTGCACGCTAGTGTCCCTAAAATCTAGGACAGATATTTTATTTATCCCTCACTAATACAGTAATAGCTGGAAGAAATTAATTGAAATCTAGGTTAACATTCCCGCCACTTCATACTTGATTTTATAGCTTGTACTCAATGGATCTTATACCCATCGCTAGATAGCGCTAATAGTTCCATTCTCACAAATATTTTTATCTACACCTATACTATAAATGTACCCACAATTAGGGTAACATATTATAAAAAATTTTAAGAGCTTTAATGCAAATAAATTATAAAATGATTTATTAATAACTGCAACAGTCAGATTTTGTACAGTTTGTATCATAGTGATAAAGTGTGCCTTTTTAAACAACCTGTAAATACCTATTTCAATAAGCTGAATAATTTGTCTTGTTACATTGTTACACATACAAATCAGAGTGTACCATAGAAAAATATTTTGTAACAGTGTTATATTCAATTTAAACACTTATGTACATATTATATACGCCCGCGCACACATACAACATAACTTAAATTCAACCCTTTTTTTTCCAAATTTATAAAACAAATTACTGTTGATGGAGTCTATTATTATTTAAATTTCTGTAGGGATCCTCGACCACGATAGAATTACAGATAAGATCATAAACAGTTCTGTTAAATCTGAAGAAATATAATGCGAAACATAATGGAAACAAAAATGCTAGAATTATGTTTTTCACTACCGATCGTCCAAGCGCAAGTGGTAAGCCTAAATCTGTTCCTGGAGAAACAAGTACAACGTCAGGATCATCGGGTCGATCGACGGGTGTAACGCTACGACATTGGACGACTCGTAATCCCATCATAGATTTTCCTGGCGTTGTACCACCGATACGACCATTCACGCCATGCTGGAGCCAAAATGCCTAAAATATTTCTCCATTAGACAAAACATCTATCAAAGTTACTTATAAAGTTACACTTACTTCAAAAATGCACACTATCAAACGATGAATGATGTCTAATACTAATATTCCATATGTCATTTCTAAAGCCATCTTGTAATCGATACGAAAATTGGCTCTTACCAGATCTAGTTCATCTATGTCTCTGAAATAAAAATCAATGGTAATAAATATAAAAGAAGAAAACACGTGTTATAAGTCACTGAGTTTACATACATGAAATCAAAAACATCAATTGCAATGAAAGTAATGCACAATTTTAACAGAAACAACATTGTTGAATCTATAAGTTCTGCAGCAAATCTTTTCCATATTGGAGGTATACGATATTCAAAACCTAAAAGAATTATTTCTTTACATTTCGCTAAATAAAATTACTGCTTAATCAGATGATAATGGTGAAAATGTACACTTCAAAAATATTGCACTTATAAAATTTAATTCAAGGATACAGATAAATTAGGTGAATGCTGAGATAATAATCTTATAAAGTGCAATACTTTTGCGTCAGAAGCACATATAGTACTAATTGAACCTCTCTTGGAATGTGATGAACACAGGAGTTATCGTTATGACCTTCTACCTTCAGCTCCAGGAGGTTGGAACGGGGTTCCTACGGTATCTTGGGCCCTTCTCTGTCTGAGCTGATCATTTTCCTGACTGTTCGTATTGATAATTAACCTATGCGGATTTGTCACATTCGGTATTTGTGACGGGAATGGTGGCACACCTACAATTATTCTATTATATAGAATGATTTTATTACACTAAGAAAATACAACAAGCAGTATGTAAACTAAATGCAAAATATAAATAAATAAAAAACAAAATACAGCAGAATTCTTACCAGTAGTTGGATTTATTATTTGGCCAGACATAAGGTAGTACGGAAACATTGCAGCTACACTCTGCCAAGCATAAGCTTCGTGTAACCATTTTTCTAATTTTTTGAAATATTCTGATCGTTCTTCTGCAGCTGTCATCTTTGAGTGATTTTCATTCTCATTAGATTTCTCTGCTTTCGTATCGTCGCTTTTATCATTTACCATATTGCTGTTTCTAATAATTGGAATTAAAATTAATGTCTTTAAAATAATAAATAGGAGTATTTGATTGCGACAATTCTTAAGAATCGAAATATAAATAAATTAAACAATCACTGTTATTTACAATTAATGAGCAAAACAATCGTGTAATTACGTCTGCCGTACATCCACGCAGTGAATCCTCCTTTTGGAACCTAAGTGCTTAAAACTGACGTGGGCAATAACATACAGGTACTCATTGATTTTCCATAAATTTCACCAGTAATATCAAGCAAAATTTATCACAACAATTTTGTAATACTTTTCCGAAGACTATAGGAAACGTACTGTTCAAAAATATGCTATAGGCTAATTTATCCGAGTAAAACATACAGAGGCACCAATAAATTACGACGAAATGAAATGCACAAACACACAGATGCAATTTTATATTATTTTCTTTATATAACAAAGCGATATAAATTTATATACGAATACATAAAATACATGAAACAATTTCGTTTTGCTTGAAAATGCAGCTTGAGATAAACTTGAGAGTCGCAGTTAGGACGTTCGTGAACGATCCGTATTCGTAATCAAATTTGTTCTGTAAAATGAAATGAAAACAAATTAAATCGAAAAAAATACCAACCCGTCGATCAAAGAAGATTGACACGGGATCATTGAATAAATGAACGAATGTAAACAAAATGTGACCGTGTATTGGTACTGTTGAATTGCAGTAACGAAAAAACCCTAGCGCCTCCACTACCCAGGTGGCAGCGTGCGGTAGTTCACGTTGCGGCGCTAGTTTCTCAGGACATGACGTACTCGAGGCATTCGCGCAGTAATCACAGTCGGAGGACGTTTCTGACCACTCGTCTCCTCGTACTTTTCGCGTTTTCGTAATAAATAGAAGCGAAACTGTAGGTGTGGTGAAGCAGTGTGTCGTGCCGCGAATCCGTGCGCGATCCAAGGCATTCCGAGTGACAGTTTCAGATAGTCTTGAAAAGGGTGTGGGCCACGACGCCAGAAGAAACATTAGGTAAGATCAAATCTCCTTCGATCGCGAAATAACATTTTTGTCGGTCGTATTCTCGACAATTCGGTCGAGAAACGATTCCCTCGACGAGATAGCCATCGGTTTCGTTCGAATACCTGCAATTTTTACGCGCGAAAATCCAACCGCAAGTTTCTCGCGGACGCGCGTCAATGCGATGGAATGTCGCGCTAGAATTCTGAGAATACCGACGGATCCGTTGCGTTTAAAAATCGAATCTCCTTCTTCGCCGTAAACAATTGCCTCGATATACGCGAATTTCATTTTACGGTTGAACACGCGCCTGTCCGATCTTCGATCGGTTATGCACCGACGGCTACTCTCGGCGAGTTCAATTAGTGCGCGAAATTCGGAGCTCGATTTTCCGTGCCATTCAAAAACTTAGGTTAGGTTGCCAAGTTTTTGAGTGGTTCCTTTCATTCAAAATATTATTTCTGTAACTTCTTGGTGCATGTATCGCGTTACGAACACGCCTTTGCGATACATCGAAACGGAGCATTCGATACGTGTCAGGTTAAACGATATACGATCGAAACGAGCCGTACTACTATACACAGCGATTTCGCGGTCCACGTGCCGTCGAGATATGTATATGTACTATACGGGTGCATGTCCTTTAAAGAGCAAATAAAAAATCGTTTGTAAACGAGCCTAACGTTGATCCGTCGGACGCGACGTAGCCTCGACGTTTCGAGGGAAAATTGCTTGGTCGAGATTTAGCCGGCGTTGTTGAGGATCACTTAAATCCCCTTGCGAGTTGAAACGAACGCACGCATGGTCTACCATAGCGATCGATCCGCTTCTCGAAAGCCCGGTATCTGTGGGAATCTCGACGAGTAATGCGAGAGCGTGCTCCGACTGACCGATCCCGCGTGAAAAATACGAGAAAGAGAGATTCGTTTGTAAAGGAGGCGATACCAATTAACGAACGTTCATTCGATACTCTCGGGAACTAATTTTCGAGTAATTCAATCGGTATAGAATTGCGAATCGAAACAATTAATATTTCTTATGGAATCTCTTGAGGCATTGTTCTAGTATTGATTATTTGCAGAATTGTTTATAATATATTGTTATATAGGTAAATGTTTATTAGCATTAGGATGTTATCGTGCAGTTTATAAATGAATATTAATTAGATGTAAGCATATGAATGAAACGGGTGAATTATTCTTATTTGATAAGAGTGTGAGGTCAAGCCAAATTAGCCGCGATTAGTTTTTAGGATGGGTGACCGCGGTACTGCTGACACGTTACGGTTTTTTTAAAAGTAATAACCAAACGTTCCAATTATAATTACGTTGTTTAATTTCGAACACAAATTATTCGATAAAACAATCTAATATTGAGAAGTAAATTGAAATTTGTTGAATTCGATCTACGAGTCGAGTTCTGAATCGTGTGAAATTAGAGCACACGAATTGCTCCGAATTCTCGATCAGTTCGAATTGAATCAATTCGAGTTAAATTGCCCCAAATTGAAAACAGGGGTTGAGTTCCTAAATCGAATTTCGTCGAGTTGTAATTAACTCTTCCAGAAACGAATGTTCACGCAGTATCGCGTGCACGGTCGACAACACTTGAACTGTTTGGTAGAATGCGTACGAATAAAAGCTAAGCTTTCCCCCAAATCGTGAGGAAGGTGAATGGCCGCGACTATACAGAGTCCCATTCACGTGTTGTAGCTCCTCTACGTTTTCGGAACCGGTTGCACGAAATCTATGGGAAAATGGCCGAGCACCGTGGGAGCCTGTACGTCTCGTGTGGCTTTTCTCAGCCTGTTCTTTCGTTCCTTTAATTTGACGTGGTCGAACGTGGACTACGCCGCGGCGCACCGAGTCGCATACTAATTTCGCGGTGACCAAGTTCGAATTAAATACGAAACACTTTCGGTTCCCTTCATTTATTTTATTTCTCTGCACTTCTAAAATTTTTATCGATCGGTTCATGATTTAACACCGTATTTTTCTACGAAAGAGGGCAATTTTGTATCCGACAGAATGTTTCTCCTTTGAAAGTAACAGAGATAACTTCTCCTCGTAGATGATCATAATTCTTCCGATATTACCGTGGTATTAGTTTTCAGGTATCCGAGTAAACGAGTTCAGTCATGATATCTTTTATAAGGAGAGAAATTTTTCATCCTGGCTACCGATACACCTCTTATTACTACCTTCATCCTTAATCCTGCAGATCCTTTTTCCTTTATTTCCTACATCGCTTTCCTGCTAGAATATCAATACACTTCAACTTGTTTATTCCTCTGAATATTCCCCTGTGACTAATATTCTTATCTACTTGATATGTAGATGGCTTGTTGGGTCACTTTGTTTTTATTGTTTGCCGCTGCTAAGCTAAGGCTTTACAAGTCGCGAGAATTGAGACGGTGGAAGGTTTAAAGATTTGAGGTGGTTTGGAAATTTTGGAGGTAGAGAATTTAGAGGACTTCCACCTTCTCAAATTCCCAAATTTCCAAATTTGTAGACACCCCAAATTCCCACCTTTCCAAATTTCAACCTTCTCAAATTCCTAGACCCCCAAATTCCCATCTCCCTAAATTTCTAGACTCCCCAAATTTCCACTTTTCTAAATTCCAACTTTCCCAAATTCCTAGACTCCCAAGTTCCCATTTTCCCAAATTTCCACCTTCCCAAATTTCTAGACCCCCAAATTCCCACCTCCCCAAATTTCTAGACCCCCCAAATTTCCACCTTCCCAAACTCCCACCTTTCCAAATTCCTAGACCCCCAAATTTCCACTTCCCCAAATTCCCACCTCCCCAAATTTCTAGACCCCCAAATTCCCACCTTTCCAAATTCCTAGAGCCCCCAAATTTCCACCTTCCCAAATTTCTAGACCCCCAAATTCCCACCTCCCCAAATTTCTAGACCCCCCAAATTTCCACCTTCCCAAATTCCTAGAGCCCCCAAATTCCACCTCCCCAAATTCCTAGACCCCCAAATTTCCACCTTCCCAATTTCCCATACCCTCAAATTCCACCTTCCCAAATCCCTACAGTTCTCCAAGAAGAACATAATTCAATAATGCATTACCAGAAGATTGAAACTTAGATCAGATTCAATTTGATGCACCGTCTATTTGCACAGACTATCGATTCGGGTATGCTAACTTTGACACTATTATCGACAACTTCGGTGCAAGGATAAGTTCAAAGCTATAGCCCCGATTCATCATTTGTCGTTCAAGTTTCGTATAAACGGAGCAGTTGATTAATTTTTAAGCGACCATTAACTTTTACCATGAGAACAACCAAGGAAATAGTGTATAGACTAAACTAGGGTTACGGTTCTTGTATGAAAAATCCTCGCGAAATCACTTAACTAAATTACCGGTGTTGAATAAAAATTTGACCCTTAATGGGTCAAACTCTGATGGTTATTCATTATCGTAAAAGCTACCTCCGGTTATCGCAAGCTTTTTATTTCGAAAAGTGGAACAATCGATAACCGTAATGTAGCAAAAACGTAGCGCACGAATTATAAATAAACCACTTTACGAATTCTTCGGTATCTTTTTCGAGGGGAATCTGGTTTAATTAACGAGAGAAAAATTGATCCCCGTGAATAAGAAAAGGTGCACGATCATCGAGTGATTTTGAGTTTGAGCATTGATTTGCATGCGCTGTTCAACGAGCGAAACGAATGAATTACGGACGCAGAGTTTATTATCGAAACGAGAAGCGTCTGTCTGCAAATCGAGCAGAACGATGGAAGTATTAATTCGTGATTAAATTGGCCGGTTATAGCGAGTACTGTCACTCCGCCATCCGGACCGGTTATTAATAATCGACGATCGCAAATAATCGTGCAGTTTCATCCTCGTCACGATTAATATGGAAATATACATATAATAGCATTTCGAAATGGGCAACATGCTGATATGAATTTAACAATTATACGAATGACTGTGTTCTGAACGTTTATGTTAATGCCTTTTGTTGGAAAATGCGGTTGAAAAGGATTTTTCATGTCATCTTCTGGAGCTGAAACTTTACAAGTTGCAAGAATTGGAGACGGGGGAAGGTTTAAAGATTTGAGGTAGTTTGGAAATTTTGGAGGTAGAGAGTTTGGAGATCTCCCACCTTCCCAAATTCCTAGACTCCCAAATTCCCACATTTCCAAATTTCTAAACCCCCCAAATTCTGACCTTCCCAAATTCCTAGACCCCCCAATTATCATCTCCCCGAATTTCTAGACCTCCCAAATTTCCACCTTTTCAAATTCCAACTTTCTCAAATTCCCATCTTCCCAAATTTCCATCTTTCCAAATTCCAACCTTCTCAAATTCCTAGACCCCCAAATTTCCACCTCCTCAAATTTCTAGACCCCCCTAATTCCAACTTTCCCAAATTCCCACCTTCCCAAATTTCCACCTTCCCAAATTTCCACCTTTCCAAATTCCAACCTTCCCAAATTCCTAGACCCCCAAATTCCCACCTCCCCAAATTTCTAGACCCCCCAAATTCCAACTTTCCCAAATTCCCACCTTTCCAAATTCCTAGACTCCCAAATTCCCACCTCCCCAAATTTCTAGATCCCCCAAATTTCCACCTTCCTACATTCCTAGAGCCCCAAATTCCCACCTCCCCAAATTTCTAGATCCCCCAAATTTCCACCTTCCTAAATTCCTAGACCTCCAAATTCCCACCTCCCCAAATTCCCACCTCCCCCTGAAGAAATTAAAAACATTGATACAAAATAAAGAAAGTAAAAACCAAAGAATCTATAAAATTGTACAAACCCAGTAAAAATTGAAAAAATAGAAGAAACTACAATTAAAGAAGAAGAAGCTAGAGAAGTGTTTGAATTAAAAAAGCAGTCCATAAAATTCACAAAAGTGGACCTATTGAACACATGAAAATTCATGGCAAACAAACATTCACTTTCTATCGATGTTCTTCCCCGTTACGTCAGAAGGTTTTTATTTTCCCCGGAGAGGTCGGCATTCCTGAAATGCCTGTCAAT